CGTCCCCAGCTTCTGGCAGTCTCCGGGGCTTCCGGGGTTGGCCTTGGCCCCTTCGCGTTATCTGCCAGCGTCGGACCGGCGTCCCGGGCCTTGGGCTCCTCGGTGGCCTGAGCTGAGGTCCGCGCCGGCGGGGCTGACGAGTGGGCGGGGCCTGGGCACAAAACCCGAGCGGAGACCGCCACGTTCCCAGCCACGTTCCAGCCCTGAGCCCAGCAGGGCTGGGACCCCGCAGTGCTTCCCTCCCCTCGGCCGCCGGGGCCCCTTCTTCCAGACCCCAGGTGTGCTCCAGGCGTCCTCCCGCTCGGCTTTCCCGCGGAGCTCTCCTTGCCAAACTTACGAAGGCTGTTTTCACAGGTGGTGGCAATGGGAGCAAGTCCTGCATCCCCCCTCCGCCCCCTCTGTGTGTGTGTGTGTGTGTGTGTGTGTGTGTGTGTGTGTGTGTTGGGGAGGGGAGGTTTGTGGAGAAACCAGACAGCATGAAAACGGAATTCCCTTATTTCTAGATTCTGTAAGGGAATGGTGAGAATGAGAAAGAATTTGTTCTCTGGTGAGGGTGATGACCGGCCACCCTTCCACCTAGTGGGGTTGGACCAGTCTGAGCTTACTGAACCCCCCTGCCTGCTCTCAGCAGTGCCTTGCCTGCAGTAGTAGGTCCTTGTGAAGGTTTGGGAACCTGAATGTCCCCGGGTTGTTCCGACAGGATTTAGGACGTAGATATTCTTGTGGCTTTAGGGGGCTACTTCCGGGAAGTTTTTGTTTCCAGCTAGTGTCCTTAAGTGAGTAGGGGCGGCATGCATGGTGGCCTCTGAAGTCTCCATCTTCCTGGGTTAGCAAGGAAGATGGAGAGGTTCTATTTTCTAGAGAGAGTTCTTAGATTCTGCTGCCAAAATCCTATTCTTACCAAAGCTTTTTGGGTGTGGTGGTAGAATAGAATAAGGCAGTAAGCCTATAAACCTCCTATGTGGGGGCAGGGGAAGAGAGGAAGAGTCAGCGTTTGCCCTAGGGTCAGAACTAGTGCTCAGTAGCAACAGGAACTGCAGGAGGACAGTTCTACAGTGAATTATTATTATTATTATTTTTTCTACCAGGAATTTAACTCAAGGGCAGTCTACCACTGAGCCACATCCCCAGTCCTACTTTGTATTTTATTTACAGACAGGGTCTCACTGAGTTGCTTAGCACCTCGCTTTTGCTGAGGTGGGCTTTGAACTTAGATTCTCCTGCCTCAACCTCCTGAGCGCTGGAATTACAGGCTTTGCGCCACCGTGCCCGGCTGAAATAATCTTGAATGTGGGGTAGTGAGCTCTCTGTCCAGCAGATGTTCCAGTAGTAGGGTGGATGTTGTGGTAGTGAACAGTTTTGGTTTCCAAGGACTCTCCTTCAATAGAATCTGATTGGCTTTCATATATGATTCTGTTTGGTATTTTTGGTATAATATATTTGGCCATAGGCAAGTTATTTTTGGAGCCTCAGTTCTCTGCCCTATAAAATGGGACAATATTATCTAAGTTTACAACACTGCAAGCATTAATATCCATAAAACCTCTGGCATTCTCTGGCCCTTTGAAGATGGTCATTCCTTTTCCATCATTGTGCATTTGTTGGGTAAGGTTCAACAGGGAAATCATCAGCCCCAGAAGAACCGGCAACATTGCATGCAAAGTCTATTTAAAACTAGCTTCAAATGCTTAAAACAAAAATATCTTCTCTTTTCTTAGAAAAGTCATTTCCAGTTTTGTTAGAATTTATGTTTCATTGGGTCCCTTTTTCTGATGAAATTATACCCTTGTGCAGACTGGCATGTTACATAACCCATATTTCCAAATCAAAAGTTAAAATTATGGGAAAGAGGGGATTAGGAATTTAAGATAGAGATTATTGGACAACACAAACAAGGAACTCAATTTAGGATGCCAATTCACTTTTTAACTGTGATGGAGGTTGAAAACAAATGAGATTAGATAAGTTCACAATGGTACAGATCCTCGATGGAGTGCTCAGCCATTATCCTGTTCTAACAGCTTCTCTGCATGGGTCCTAATAAGCTTTTGGTTGCTCCAGTCCCACCAAGTTCTCTTATATCCCTAACTCTAACATGTGAAATAAAAGAACAATGGATTTAAATCACCTCCTTGTGGATTTGATTCCAAGAGTCTACCAGGGTAAATCAATGTTGATTTTAGATCTAAAGGGTCAATTTTTACCTGCTTTCTTACACGTCCATCAGCCTTACTTATTGTAACTGAAAACTGAATGACTCCATCTTTGCTTTGTGCTCACATACAGCTGTGGGAGCCAACATGAAAAGTAACATGCCCCAGATCCCAGGGAGCCAAAAGAACAATTCTCCATAAGCATCTTGTCTAAAGAAACAATGTAAATATATATTTGCTTAGTCCTGTATGGTTTATGTGTTTGGTACTTTGTCTCAGCTTTTCCCGTAACTTTCATATTTATTCTGATTGCCTAAATAATATGTGTTCATTATAGCAATTCAGAAAATATAAAGAAGAGCAAAAACAAAATAATTTCACTATATTTTAGATTGTATCTTGGGACTTTTATTTATGAATGTAGAGAAATGGAGGTCATAGTTAAAATAGTTTGAACGCTAATTTTGATTTAATGATAAAACATTCAGATCTATCCATGTTATAACTTTCTTGGCTGTGGCAGCATTATTTATTTATTTATTTATTGTACTGGGGTTGAACCCAGGGGTACTTAACTACTGAGCCACATCCCCAGCCCTTTTATGTGTTTTATTTAGAGACAGGGTCTACTGAGTTGCTAAGTTGCTATGGCTGGCTTTGAACTTGCAATCCTCCTGCCTCAGCCTCCAAAACCACTAGGATTACAGGCATGTGCCACCACACCCAGCTATAACAACATTTTTAATGGCTAACTAGAGTCTCCATGTTTTAATGTAACATACTTTGTTTAAGCAGTTCAAATTGTTTGGCTTATTTATTTTTTAACAAAACTGTAGAAATTACCCTTGTATGCTCTGTGCAATGTTAGTATTTCCTTAAGTCAAATTCCTAGAGAGTACGGTCACAGAGTCAAAGGCTTATACCATACCATGGCTTTTGTCACACATGAAAAGCATTAAGGTAAACTGTGTTTTCTTCATCTTTTAAACCAGAATCTGATGGTTTACTTTGCAACTTTATAGGCTTGGGAGATGAGATAGTAGAGGAAAGTAGGGGCGCCAAGTATGTCTTCAGCATAGGATTTGCATAACTTTGAGCTGTTCTGCTGACCAGAGAGGCAAATCCTTTTTCCAAGAACATTTTTCTTCCTTGACTGTCTTGGAATCATCGCTTTCTGTAGATCTTCAGCCAGCAGTGGAGTTGAAATATGTAAATATGTTCCTCAGTCTTGTAGGTGGGGCTGGCTCCATGATAAATGACAAATAGTTCCTTAGAGAAGTGTGTGTGTCTTCCAGCTTTTGCTGAGGGGGTGGATTCCCCTTCCCCACCCTTTTCCCTTTCTTTTGGATCAGGGGCCTCAGGCTGGCCCTGGAGATCTTACAAAGGAGACAGTCTCCCAGCAAGTTTATCCCCATGTGCTACACAGCATTGCCCCTGGAAAACTCAACCTAACTGAGTCACTTCATGTCCCAGGACACAGTAAATAAATCAGAGTCAACATGCCTACTTGCTGTTTCAAAAGCTTAAGTAGTTGGGTGCCCCTCTTTGCATTGATCCACTTCTATCAGAGGGTACATTTTTCAGTCTTCCTCCTTCATATGTTGGATTTCTCTGACCTAGAAAAGATTTGTGCCCTGTGATTAGATGACTTGTCATCTGACAAAGAATTCCATGGAGCTAATGGGGGAAGTCTGGTCCTCTCATTTCCAAGGTGTCCCCATGCTCAGCAAGAGACATCAGGAGTTCCTTTAGATCAGGTAAAGAGGTCACCTCAGGGTTGTTGGATAGCATGTCACCATAGAGGGAGCCTGCTCTGTTGGTTGCCGACTCTGACTTCAGATGAGGTTTAGATGCTGCCTTTGATACTTAAACCACTCCAGTTTCACTAGGGCAGGCAAGGGAATGTTTCTGTCTTTTGTCGTGTTCTGAACATCAAATCAGGCTTTTCTTTCATGTGGAAAGCAGGTGAAAACAGGCCATAAGTGAAGCAGGATCTCAGGAGCAGTGGCCAGCACCCGCATTCCATACCCCCTCCCCTGCTTTGTGTTCTACATTGACTGTGTGAGATGGGAGTACTGTCTCTACAGCCAATGGGGTTTAATCATTAAAGTCCTCGATAAATTAGGTTTTAAGAAATTTTTTCTCTGAAAAAGTCCATTTGCTGGATGTGGAATAACTGTTGACTTCTGAAATTTTGGTCTTGAATCCTTTGAAAGTCAAGCCAAAGGGTTGCTGCTGGTATATTTATGACTTTGGGTAAACCATGCCAATTCCTAGAGTCAGCCTTCCTCTCTATAAAATTGGGTTGGGTGAGGAGGGTGGATTTGACATTTTATAAACTGATAATTCTCAAATTTTAACATACATATACCTTGCCGGAGGATCTTGTTAAGAGGCAAATTCTGATTTAGTGGGTCTGTGGGTACCAAAGAATCTGCATTTCTCACTAGCTCCTGGTGATGCCAGGCTTCTGGTCCACTGTCTGTTACACTTGGGTTAACAAAGTTTCAAGCTGCTTGTGGTCCTGAGGTTATTTCGCAAAGTAACAGTAATGACTCTCTGACATCCAGGAGTTGTCCATATTTATAGAATGGCACTACAAAGGCATGTATCCATTTATCTTTTTTGGATTTTGAGAATTAGCATCTTCATTTCCATAGTCAGAGCTGGGAGGATATAGGCA